ACTCGAATTTCCTCACTCACGTTGTTACGACTGAATCGACTTTTCAATTCTCTATCCAACGATGCCAAAACGAATTCTGTGGCTTGAATGGTTCTTGAGACACTTCGAATAAAGGCCATTTAGTTATCTCTGGAATGCTGTAAAAACGAGCGTTCTTGCTCATTTTGCTTCCGAGAAACATGCAAAACGGGACGAAAAACATTAAATTTTGGCATAATCTTACGCCACCCCTGCACAAAACGACGATAATTTTTCTAATTTCATAGACAACAGAAGACTGTATTTTTTCTACATAACCAACCCCCCCCCCTGAATTTAAAGCTGGATCCGCCCCTGGAAGATACAGAAACTAGAATAAAAGAGAGAAAAAGCCAAAATTTGCAAAATTGTGGATTGTAGATTAATTGTCTAATTGTATTTGTAAATGCGACTTTTTTTATGCCAACAAATAGTTTCGATTTGAAGTAACCCCAGAATAACAAGTCTATCGGAGTGAAGTCTGGCGGCTTAGGAGGTCATCCAAATGGTACTCTCCTTCTTATCCATCGATTGGGAAAAGTTTCATTCACAAATTTACGTACAATGGCAGCAGAGCAAGTGTGGAGGAGCACCATCGTGCTGCAAAATGAGTCCTTCGTCAGGAAAGTCTAGATATACTTATCCACTTAGAGACTGTTAAAAGAAAAATTGTCTTATTATTTTTCGGCTGTGATCTTGCACCATCCAAGACGGATTCTCTGTTGCCCAATATCGACAATTTTGTCGGTTTAAACAACCATTCAAACTTCAGTAGCTTCATCAGAAAAAAATAACGTTTTCTGCAAAAGTATTTTCCAGATTGCCCATACTTTGCGTGTTCAAATAACTCTTGCGCTGAAATAACATTGCAGGGATGATTTTCGTGCTTTTGAACAGATGCTTGTTTGCGGCAAGTTGGCGCAATTTTCAAACAACGAAAACCCGAACTGAAGCGAGGGGGTGGTTTAGGCGCGGCGCCCACCATGCGCCGGTTTTCCTCGAATAATCAAACGAAAAGTTGGGCGCAGCTGAGCGCAGTTCAGTACAGTTCAGCGTGCGGATGGATGATGTAGAAGTCGCCCGACCATCAGGTCAGCCTTTCGAAAAGATCGCCGGTGTTTTTTAATTTTTTCGTGAAATGTGACATTGATGTTCGAGTGTTAGTTCTCCATCGGAAGGGTTGATGAATATGTCCGACGCTGCCACTCAAGATGATACTTGGGAGGATTTTTTTGGTAAGTCCGCTTGAACGCGATTTACTTGCGAAGGCCCTTTAGTAAGTAGCTGGAAGGCAAAAGCAGAAGTTGGTGATTTTGAGCTTTTTTTTTAGTTTGAATCAGTGGGCGTATGAAAATGAAATAAGCAAGTTTGATAATAAATCGCTGAACAGAAATGAAAAATTGACTCGAAAACGGCTAAAAATACTCCAGATTTTCAAAGAAAATTTCAAACTATAGTAAATATTACGCCAGCAGGCTCAGACACCGGGGATAAAACTATTTATAACTAGTCAAGCGCCGATTTGAGAGTGTTTCACTGAAAACTGCCATAAATCTTCGCATCTCAAGAGGTTTGTTGCTCACCACTTTCATTTTCCATCAGTTTAACCGGCCAACTTTATTAGAACCAACATGCCAGATTTGCTGGAAAAAGCAAACTAGCTTCTTCTCGTCCACAATCCCTTGTTAAGATTATGATGCGGTTATTCGTTTCAACAAACCGATTAAACCACCAAAGCAACATGTTGGAGTGGTTTTTGACGACGGATGGTCGGGCCTGGCTTTTTTCGCCAACCACTTTCGATATTGCCACGTTCATATATGGATGTGTGCTCCCAATTCCAGGGCATGAAAGAACGCAACAGTTTTTTTGCGGTTCCGGCCGCCTAATTGAATGTGGTCAATTAATTTTTTAAATTTACCGGCCGACATGCCCGGCAATTAAATCGAACGGTTCTTGGAGGCATCACATAAAAATGTGATTTTCGCCAGCCCATTTGCACGCACATGCAGGAAATTTTGCAATGTTTGATCAGCTGGCGTGCATGGAGCACTGAAGTGTTGCAACTAACCAAAGTCTGCWTAGACTGGATTCAATACGCCAATATTGCAAAACTAATTGAAACTGCAGCATTTGCAACTCAGTGTCTCACYCAGTAGTTGAGCTTCCACTCAATTCAGATTGAACCGAACTATTCGCAAGTCTTTAAGCTCCTAAAGTTAAAAATGTATCTCCTATTCTTAAAAGCAGTTCGAACAGCGCTTACTRAGAGGAATTGCTCAAGATATCAGATGATGTGGCTGCAAAGCAAGAAGAGCTACAAAATATAAGAAGAAACAATTTTGTTTGGGATCTRTGYACTTTGTTAGACAATTTAAGCAATTGTTCAGGTTTTAAGCATTTTCAGCAAGGCATTTGTATGTACAATTATTTATTTTGAAAYCTGTATTYGTATCTCTTCTCTTTCTTGAATGAATGAATGAACGAAATTTCATGAATGAATGAAAASAGCAACTGAAAAAATTGGGCTTTTGCCCTGAAAATTTCTCCTGACATTGGAGGACTAAAATTTTGCTCCCTTGTATATTATGTTTGAGCACCCCATACTCATTCCCCTCGAGCCTCCTCCGGATTGATCATTTCCAATCAATCAACACTCAAACATCCACCAACTGCAGCTGAAAAACTTCGCTCACTTTCAAACGAAAGGTTCAGAGAATGCAAGCAGGAAGGTTTCGGATTAATGTCGAAAATTCCTCCATAATCAAGTGGAACTTGAGGCACAGAAGAAATGAAAACAATGACACCAGGCCTACTGCAGTTTCGTTAATCAGAAATGCAGGATGCCCTTGGCCTTGCGTAATGCGGTGATCGGAATAATAACCAGCAAAGTACAGAGAAACGAGTCGATTGAACTGGTGCGACCAGTTTAATTAGCTGAAAAAATGCAGGGCGACACGTTAATAACGCGAAAAACGCGTTCCGATCGTGGTAGTTGAGAAATTTCAATCATCCTAGCCGGCCTGGTGCATAGCAATATAATGTACAACTCTGGTCAACTGATTTTTTTGTCTCCCAAGTCCAAAACCATCGCCCACTTGATGAACTTGATGGGTTCTTCACATGTCGCACAATGCTCTAACTGTAAAACTATCGATGAAGATTATGTTAATAGAAGAAGAGTGTCCAAGGCGCGAAACTTGGACAACCGAATAGGGATTTATGGACGAAGATAAATCCTGCCTGCCTACTCGCTGCTGGCGCCCATAAAACCATCATGGGCAGCTGTCATGGATTTGGTCATTTTTTACAGTTAAACAAAGCGCGAAAGGAGGCCTTGAGTGCACAAGTGCTGAGCAACAATCGAATGTCGCGTGTCAGCCAGGACTCGTTTATGTCAATTGTTTCCACTGACCATATGGGCCTTATGCCTACCTAGAGTGCGAGATTTACACGACATCTGCACTAATATCCTTCCTTTGCCATTGGGCAGGAGAACAAGTAAATTTTGCCCAGTCCTCATAGTTGCCATTCGTAGCGGAAATACTGCAAATGCCCTGAAGATGGTGGACCGTTCAAACTTTCCTGCTATATAAAGCCAACTGTGCTCTATCCAATGGAGCAAAGTTCTGATCTTTTTCTTGCGTCGTTTTTGAGAAAGATTTTTTTAAATTTTTGTTGACACGATTGTGGCGAGATTGATTCTCCCCCAGGCCTGAGATTTTCTTGAAAATTTCCCGAGAATGGTCGACTGCTGAAACTTTCCTCGTGGATAAACAAAGTTGCGCTCCATTCAATGCAGTCAAGCTCTAATCCGTACCTTTTTTTCGATAARGAAAAATAYWTTTTTTAAATTTGGSTGACRCRATTKTGGCCATTGTGAYTCTTCCTCTAGCTTGATATTTTGCCAGAAATACCCTGAAGATGGTCGACAGCTGAAAGTTTCYAAATTCACAAACAAAATCATGCTCTATCGGCGCCATTCCAAACCAAATCCTACTCACAGGAGGTTTTCTGSAATWAATTTTTTTATGTTTGAGATGTAAAGTTCCTGAAGATGGTGGTGCACTGAAACGTTTTGGTTCCATAAGGAACCAATTCTCTCAATCAGGCCTGAGATTTGATTGCAGCTGCCCTGAAGATGGTGGACTCCTGACACTTTGCATCTCCACAGAGACAATTGTGCAGTATCAGCTCCAATAAAACGCAAATAAAACACACGTAGGTTTTTTGAGAAATTTATTTTCTAAAATTTGGTGTCGCCATTGACCATCTGAAATTTTCGTCTAACTATGAAACTATGAAGCTATGAAACTTTAAAACCTTTAAAACTCCCTGAACCCATAGAGAAAGTCGTTCTCTATCTATATCTATTACGAAACCAGGTGAAACTCTAGTTCTCTCTACCAAATAACGCAATTTAAAGAATTTAGTGAGCACCATTCCTTATAGCCAAACTGATGCTCACTTGAATGTGGAATGTTTTTTGCAAAACTTCTAAACTCGTTAAACTTTTAGGGCCTCAATCCAACGCAAAAGACCCCAGATCTCTATCTTGCTCTGTTGTTGAGAAGTAAATTTTTGAAATTTGGTGAGGATCATTTTGGGCAATTTTGGCATTTCGTTTCAAATTTTTTTTACAAATTCTCTGAGGATGGAGAAGAACTGAAACTGTGAGAGCTTTTAGATACATTAGAGCTCTACCAGCGAAAATAAATTCAAATCAGAATTCAGTACAGTTTTGGAGAAATAAATTTTAAACCCTTACCTGCTTAACCGGCCTGTGATTTTTTACCAAATTCTGCCGACATTTTGAAGCCAATAAAACGGTTAAGCCACAAAGAGAAAAGTATTCTCTATCCAAGGCAGAAATGCTGAAATTTGCAAGTCGCTTGGTTTTCGAGAAATA